CTTTCCCTAGCCTAAATAATTTCCTCTTTAACTCAGCCAAGTGTTTTGAACATTCAGTTACAAGAATGAGGTTTTCTTCATCATCAACAAAATCAAAAGAGATTGAAACTCAAAATGTAAGTGTAACATTTTGCTTTCCATTTCTACAAATTATTGGTAAAACCCACGTAACATATCAATGTATAGGATATGAATTATTCAAAAATTGTCCTATACTCTTGAATTTCTTCCTTGAACACAATGAAGCTGGAAGATTCCATTTTGGTGTGAACATGAGTCCCAGTTCATGAACCCCAAAACCAGACATGGGTATCCAAGAGCAGACTTTGGGAAAAAAGTTTTTTAGGGAAACAAAATTTCTGAATTAAAACTTTCTAGGAAGCCCCTATTTTATAAAATTTGGGTTCAGACAAACCAAGTCTATTCAAATCACAGCACCCATGAAACATCGGAAAGAAAGATTTACACAAGAGTGATACAAAAATGTCATGCTGCTTTGTCTGAACTGAGTTATCTCATTTGTGCTGCACTGCAGGTGAATTAATTAGCTCTTCTGACTGACGGTGCCAATTACTCTATTCCCATGCTAATTAGTTAATCTGAAGCACTTTGTGAATGAGCTATATTGCTTTCAATTCAGGAGGCAGGACAATGCTATGTTTGAGGTCACTGCTGCCTCCAATGTCTCAAAGACTTCTTCACTGAGAGTTAAGGGCATTCAGCACCTCATACAATGTTGACCGTTATCTTAAAGAGCCTGTTAATTAATACTTGTCCTGGCATAAAAGCATATCACTCAGTATATTGCATTACTATTTCAACATCTCACTTACAAAGACTGAAGTTGTTGAAGACTCTCAAACTGATCCTCATAGAGGTGAGAAAGTGAATTGAAAGACAAATTACTAAAAGACAAAGAAATTATTTCTCATTAAAAATTAAGAAAAAAAATGAGGTTAAATTACAATAGTTTAAAATGGATCTGTGACTTACAGTTTTTGTAAATATTTCAGGTCTTTAAAGATATAATGTGGTAATTCAGTAATTATGTTCTTAGACAGATCCCTGAGAGAGAAAAAAAAGACCAAAACTACTTAGAATTATCACCAGTGTTCTGGTAGGTGTGTTGCCAGCAGGTAAAGGGAAGTGATTATTCCACTCTATTCAACACTGGTGAGGTTATATCTGGAGTACTGTATTCAGTTTTGAGACACCCACTACAGAAAGGATATGGACAAATTGGAGAGAGTCTAGTGGAGGGCAACAAAAATGGTGAAGAGGCTGGGGAACATGACTTATGAGAAAAGACTGAGGGAACTGGTTTTATTTAGCCTAGAAAAGAGGAGACAGAGGGGATTTAATAGTACCCTTCAACTACCTGAAGGGAGGTTTGAAAGAGAATGGAGCTAGACTGTTCTCAGTAGTGCCAGATGACAACAAGGAGCAACGGTCTCAAGTTGCAGCAAGGAAAGTTTAGGTTAGATATTAGGAATAATTTTCTCACTTGGATGGTAGTAAAACACTGGAAGAGGTTACCCAGAGAGGCTGTGGAATTTCCATCATTGGAGGTTTTTAAGACCCAGATAGACAAAGCCTTGGCTGGGATGATCTAGGGGCTGTGCTTGCTTTGAGCACAGGGTTGGATTAGATGACCTCCTGAGGTACCTTCCAACCCTAATTTTCTATGATTCTATGCTCCTCCATTTCAGTAGATAGCAGTTCATTCAGTGGCACATTTTATATTGAAGAAACAGATTTTCATTTTTAGATGAACAGGATCCTTTCTATCTTGTCACTTAATTCATGATAATGCTTACATTTTAGAATGTAAGTGTTTATATTTATATTTAAAAATACAAGCATTTATACTTTACATTAAACTTCCACATTTTTCACTTTAAAAAATGATCTGTTTTCATCCAGCACATACAATCTTTTTTTCCCCACAACTTCACTTCTTTTTAGGAACACTGACTTAATTAAATGCATTCCCTTAAGTTTTGTGATAACTAAACACAAATCACTCCTCTGTTGTATTAACCAGCAACTTTTACCCTTTACACTAATTTAAAAAAAGCATTAGGAAGATCCATGCAAATTAACATTATGAACACCAAAACTGAAAAATATGTCAAGCGAAATAACTTAATACAGAATCATATTACTGAATATTCTGCTCATCTCCCAGAAGTTTTCAGTTGTCTGGTACTCCAGCTTCCCTAACAGTTAAAAAATGTATCTATTCCTTTCTCCTTAGCTGCTAATGACAGTCAGATACACTTACTACTCATTCCCTCTTTCTAATCACTAATGATTTTATTATTTGCCCTTCCCTTTTTAGGTTTCTGCACTCTCCGATCATTTGTATACTTCTCCTGGAACCTGTAGCACTAACTAATGTAACGAATGAACCCCTTTTTAGTATTCAAGACAGTGCTAGGAGTGCAGTTGGTTCTTCAACTGCATTGGTGTTCACAAAGAATGTGCTGCTTCTTAATGTACTTCTCATTTATGTACATTCACAGTTTATTAAAATGTAACGGCATACTACAACTCAGAAAAGAGATTTTAAAAACTTACAGTTCTCCCAAATGTTTTAAGGAAGAAAATGTCTTTTCAGGCACAAAATGAATTTGATTTCCACGAAGACACCTGTGACAATAAAAGGATATGAATGCGATGGTTAAGTGTTTCAGTGCAATTGCTTCTAGTTTTATAATTTTTCTACTTTTATTGGAAGTTGTATAGAATGGAGGGTAATTTTAACATACTATTACATATTACATTTTCATATGCCTCTCAAAAGAAATCTTGTTGGGCTAAATCCTGAGAGATTTAGGATGCGTCTACATGAGATGTTTTGCTGCACATTAGACTAATCTGAAGTACAGTAAAGCATTACCATCTACACATGTGCAGGATTTACTCAGCAGTAAATTAGGCTAATGCACAGTTTGCTACTACCAAGAAATACAGGTATTAGATTAACCACACATTCGCTATTGTGCAGTAGTGCACGTGTAGATGCTGACGGGAAGCAATTTGCAATTTACTCCCAGTCAGCCTAGGCAGCAGGGGGCCACAAGGAGTTGGGGGGTGGGGGAAGGGGAGGGCAGGGGAGCTGTCCATGTCTCTGGTATGGAGCTCGGGATTCATAGATCATAGAGTTGGAAGGGACCCAATGGATCATCGTGTCTGACCCCCTGCCCCTGCCAGGAAAGAAGACCAAGGTCAGATGACCCCAGCCAGGTGATTGTCAAGCCTCCTCTTGAAGACCTCCAAGTTAGGTGATAGTACCACCTCTCTTGGAAGCCTATTCCAGACCCTGGCCACCCTTACTGTAAAAAATTTCTTCCTAATGTTTAACCTAAATCTACTGTCCACTAGTTTGCACCCATTATTCCTAGTTACTCCTTGGGGCGCTCTGGTAAACAGCTCATCCTCAATTCCCTGCTGTCCTCCCCTGATAAACTTATAGGTGGCTACAAAGTCATCCCTCAGCCATCTTTTGTAAAGGCTGAAGAGATCCAGATGCCTCAACCTCCCCTAGTAGGGTCTTTCACGGAGGCCACTAATCATGTGAGTGGCCCTCCTCTGAACCCTCTCCAAATTCTCCGTGTCCCTCTTGAAGTGTGGAGCCCAAAACTGCTCCAGTACTCCAACTGCGGCCTGACCAATGCCGCATAAAGGGGGAGCATCACCTCCCTCAATCTGTTGGTCATGCATCTGCTAATACATGACAAGGTGCAATTGGCTTTGTTGATGGCCTCGTTACACTGCCAGCTCATGTTCATCTTGGAGTCAACTATGACTGAAAAATCCCCCTCAGCTGCTCAGCTGCTGAGGAGGTAATCTCCCAACCTGTAGGTGTGCTGGGGATTCCTCCTTCCTGGGTAGAGTACCTTACATTTATCTTTGTTGAATTGCATCCTATTTTGTTCTGCCCATTAACAAAATCATTAACGGGATCATAGCCCGGCACTACATGACTGGCTTAGGGCAATGCCCTGTGGCTGAGTGGCAGCAGTGCCCAGAGCTCTCCCTTCACTTTGATTGCTGAAAGGATGGAAGAGTTCTCTGTCCCTGCAACATTGGGCTGGAGACACACAGCTTCCCCATCCCCTTAGCTCTGCTGCTGCCCACACAGCACATGCCCCAGTTAGCTCCCACTTCCTACCCATGCCTGGTGGGGAGCCAGGAGCTGAGTAGTACTGGAGGTAAGTAGTGGTGGGACTGGGAGGAGATGCCGGGGTGGAAGCAGTGATGGGACTGGAGGATGTCTCCCCCTTGTCCCGACACTGCTTATGCCCCCCTACTGCCCTCACAGAACCCCCAGGTCCCAGTACTGCTTACTCCCCCCCTCACTGCATCTTGCCCCAGTCCCAGCACTGCTCAGCTCCTGGCTCTCCCCTGGCACAGGCAGGAAGCGGGAGATGATTGGGGCAAGTTTTGTGTGAGCAGCAGCTAAGCTGAGAGGATGGGAATGCTCTCTGTCCCCAGGCCAGTACTGCAGGGACAGAGCTTCCACATCCTGGTGCTGCTCAGCCCCTGACTCCTGGGGGAGCTGAGATGAGCAGTACCAGGACCAGGGACAGAGAACTTCCCTGCCCCTTCAGTAAACTCAGTAAGCAAAGTGAGGGGAGAACTCAGGACACTGCTGCCACTTGGCCACGGGGGTATTGCCCCAAGCCAGCATTGCCAAACGGGGCTGTGATCCCAAGCTCCACTCAGCTGGGAGCTGTCCCCTGCTCCAGGACAGCACCCCGTTGCTCCTTGGAGCCCAGCCCAGCCAAGGGCTGGCACTATGGGAGCTTGAAATCCCCTGGCTTCTGCAGGGGGGCAGAGTAGGGCAGGGGGGCAGGAGCAGCCATGGACTTAACTGCTTCCGTTGGGAGCAAATTTGCTTCCAACCCAGGCACACGTGTAGACACATTCCTGGGTGCAGTTTTCTGCACCTTATTTTGCTGCCTAACCTTAAGGCACATTAACTGCACGTGTAGATGCATCTTCTATCAAGCAAAGCTCTCCCTGAAGGAAATAAAAAAATCTGACTGATTAACGTCTGCCTGATTCTCTCCCTTGACAGAAATCTTATTGTGCTCAAAGTCTAACATCAGATATTTACTCTGTAGCTCCTATTGAATTTTGCACAGTCCTACTCTAGAAGCATCCATTTCCCATGTGGAAAAAAGCTGTGCATATAACATGCAGGAGCTTTTCTTATCTCTTGCCCTGCAGAAATTGCTTCTGTTGAATCTTAGCCTCATTCAGATGCTTGTTTCTCCAGATATGGAAAGCGAGTGAAGAATCTTGTTACTGATCAAGTGAAAACTACTGCTGTATAGCCATAACTCCCATTCTAGACTGCAGTGCAGCTGAATACATTCCTTCAAATTCAGCTCTGTCTCTGTTCAACAGTGAGAATATAAAGCCGTTTTCTAGTACTTGTGAGCTGATCATAAATCAGAAACACCAAAGGGGCCCAATTTATAACTTGTTTATTGAACAAATGATAGAAAGACCACTTCCTGGAGGCTATACAGTACATATTTGGGGTTCAACACCATAAACACAAGCATCCTGGCTCAGCTATATCAAAGGAAATAAATACTATGTTGATGAATATGATTAAAAATATTCTGAGGTTTCATCACTGCTGTAATTTAGTACAATGTTTATTTACTTACAGCACCGTGAGTGCATTACATTCCAGAAAGGTGGCATTAGTTAAGGCTTTAATGTGATTACCTTCAAAATCCCTAAAGAAAAACAGGCAAATTTTGAGTTATTTTTCATGAAAAAGTTATATGAACATTTTCATAGCAGTGAGCTCAAGGTTCAAACTTTGTTGTTGGCTGTTGCCAGTTTTGTCCTTTTGACTTTTCTTTTATTAGAGATCTTGCCAAATCATCCCTGATTCAATAGACTGTTCTAGAGCATGAACACAAATGCCAAATAAAAAAACTCTACCTCATTTCTTGGTTGTGACTTGCTTTCTGTTATTCTAGCATTCTGTCTTCTCTAATTTTATTAAGACCAAATCAATATGCCTGAAATTTCTCATGAGTTCTCCATGTGCTGAAATCTTTGTATTTATTATGCCACGGATTACCAGATGGAGCTGTTACACACAGTTTTACAAATTCTTTTTTGTAGCATGAAAACACATTTTAAGAAGCTAAGAAAAATGCCATATTGTTACAAGTTTTGTTATATAAGGGTCCTTGGAGAAAGGGTTCCAAAAACAGCAGATTTTACTCTTGACTTTACTTTCAGTACTTAGAAATTCTTAGTGTAGGGTAGCTTACTGAAAACTCAGCATTGCTGGATAGGTGAAGATTACAGGAAGAGGCGATTGCCTCCATGTGCTGATTGCAACTCCCTGCATTCCAAGACACTTATGTTTAAGTGTCTATAATTCTATATAGCAATTTCCACTTTGCACAGTGGTGCTCAGTCTTTCAGCCACATGGGCCAGATGAGATGAGTGAAGTGTAGCCAGGCCATAGGCTGGTTTGGCATGTAGTGTTGGCACTGAGGCCAGCCTTACATGCTGGATGGAGCTTGTGGATGACCCTAAGAGTTGGGCCTAGGACTATGGTGCAGGTCAGAACTCTTATGCTTGGTCCAGCTGCAGAACATCCTCATGCACTGGCATGTGGGGCCCTGACATCCATCCCATGGAGCTTCCCACAGGTCCAGATATTTGGTGGCAGGGGATTGGTGACAGTGTTAATTGCTGCAGCAGGACAATTAAAGGAGCCATGGAAGGTAAGGCTGCCACTGTTCCCCCACTGCCAAATTACTGGACCCATGAGGAGCCCCATAGGCTGGATAACTTGGATTTCTGAGTTGGATCAGGCCTGCAGGCTATAATTCGAGTACCACTGACTTTGCATATATCCAGATTCAGCACCATTGATTTTCTTCCAGCAAGAAAACGAATTGCAAGGCCCCAGATTTTTGCTGCCACTGAGCAGATTGACACAGGTGTCAGTAGAAGGGGCAATTAAATCTATTTAAGTTTGGGGAAAATTAAGTGAGGCATTTGTCTGATGACTGTTTGACACATTTGACAGTTCTATTTCAGCAAGTTTCCTAATGCTCAGTTTGGAAGCCTTTCAAAATGCTTTGACCTAAAAACTCCACATTTGGGTTATTCTGTTATCTCCATAGAGGACTAGTTACTAGGGGTGTGTAAAGTGGGCCCTATTCGATTTGGCCCAAATCAGGGACAGTGATTTGATTAATTGATTCAGATCACTGTCCCTGATTCAATTCAGCCGAATGCAAATCTGAAGATTTGATGCTGATTCAAAGAATCAGCAATTCAGACATAGACACAGCTTGAAATGTTTTTTCTACATACCTCTAGGTAGCAGGCGGCTCATGAACACTGCGATGCTGGGGTGCATGGAGTGTCCCACAGAAGCATGGGGGGCTCCCCAGTGTGCTCCCCAGCAGACCCAGAAGTGGACCAGAAGCACTTCTGGTCCACTTCTGGGCGCCCCCGGGCCCCCCCCCCCCCCGTGTGTCCCCCTGGCTCAGCGACTGGTGCCTCCTGGGTCAGGGGGGCATCTGGGGTCCCCCTGAAGCCAACTGCCGAGCCAAGAGGGTGCCAGGGGGGCCCCATAGCACTCCCTGGTAGACCCGTAAGTGGACTAGAAGTATTTCCAGTCCACTTCCAGGTTCACCGCCAAGCACATGGTGGGCCCCCCCCATGCTCCTGTGAGATGCTCCACATGCCCCAGCATTGCAGCGATCATGAGCTGCACTGGTACCTCAAGGTATGTAGAAAAAAACTTTTAAAGCTGTGTCTATGTCTGAATCTCTGAATCTTTCTGAATCTCTCTGAATCGATTCGGAGGGTTCTGATTTGATTTGGAGAGATTAAAGGGGCCTCTGATTCAGTTTGGATTTAGAGATTCAGCCACCAAATTGGGCCGAATCTCCACCGAATTGAATCAAGGACCAAAGCTTTGCACAGCCCTACTAGTTACTGACTTTTTTTGAACAACCTTAAGTGAATATTTCAGGGTGGGATTTTTGACAGTGCTCAGTGTGGGCCATTAATATTAATAGCAGAACAATTAAGTCAGTGTTGAATGTTTTTTGAAAAGTTTACCCTTTAAATAATAAACCAAATGGACCTTTTGCATAATGTACTTACATCCAGTTAATAAGAGGCATTTGAGTGCATATTTTCCCTGGAAGGGTCACAAGTGAGTTGTTTATCATAGACCTTCATAAAAGGAAGACACTGTTATAAAAGGAAATTTAGCATTATATTTTAAAACAAACTCTATTAATAAAAAAATATGAAAAGCATGAAGAAAAGATATGAAATCTGATGATGAATCCATAACATTAGATTAGTTACACTGTCTAAAAACTGAGAAATTCAATCCAGATTTTGTAAAAATCCATGTTGACCCATTACCTTCTAACCAATATATTAAAAGGATTTTCTTAATAAACAGTAAATAAGTACAATGCTTGTGAAATATGCCATAATAACAATATTGGATAATTTTTATCCATTAAAAAAAAATCTAGTGGTAGTAAACATTTTCTATACCATTCTTTCAGTGTTTCTCAATTTTTTTCTGGAGGGTCCAGTTCAAAGGTTAAAGGGTTGTTCAATTGTTTGTCCATTCATTTTTTGGTTTTTCTGGAGAAACTGGTGGCATAGGGGACAATTAATGCCAACAGGGGTAGCTAATGTAAACCATTGCCTACTACGAAGCTCGTTGAGACAACCAAATAATTTAATATAAATGATTAAACACAAATTATAGAGCAATACTTTTCCATCTCTACTCTTGTGGCCTGAATTGCAATCAACTATCTAGTAGTGCAAGCTTCTGTATCCCATTACCAAAACTCAGGTTCATTGAGTTTCCCAGCTATCATTAAGGTAGCTGTAATTTCAATTTCTAAGAAACAAGTCTAATAGTCCATGCATGCCACTGGGATCAAGAACTCATGATTCACTGGTCGCGTCTACACATGCGCTTGAATGTGAATTAGCCTGTTTTAATGTGCATTTATACAGCAAAAAACTCCCAAACCATGAACTTTGACTAGTGTACATTAAAATAGGCTAATGTGACCTTTTCTAGTACCTTACAGTGGAGGTACTAATTATAGTGTGTATTGCCAAAAACTCATTAATGAATGTGTAAACACGCCCACTGTAGACTTAAGAAGTCTTTTAGATTATCTGTAGAAGAGGAATAGTATAATTTATTGTTTATGTAAGGTGCCAATTGTGAGTTCATGTTTGGAAGGAATTCTGAGCACGTCTTATAAAAAAGTTTTTCTAGTGCACTTATCACTGGGCCCAACTACATGTGTCCCTACAGCACCTTTGTTACTGCACCCTCATTTAGTACTTCCTTTTGGAAGTAAATAGGATAGGAGTTTCCTATGTGCTGCATTCCCTCTAAGCTGTGCAGTGTGCATGGCCGCGCAGGTGCGTTTATGCCATGCTGCCAGGTGCACCTGCACAGCCGCGTATGCCACACAGCTTAGAAGGACCACTACCTAAATGTATCCAAGAGATTTCAGTTTAAAAAGACTTTTCTGTGTGTCTTGTGAGAAGGGAATTACGAGTTTAAAGAGATTGATGATTTTAAGGATATCAATCAGCCCTCACTAGCAGCATGATATTTATAGGCATTGCATGGACAATACTTTATCTTGAAGACTGAGGGAAATTTGAATTCAGACTATGCAAGTACAAACAGTTGAAAGGTATGATTCACTCATGAGGAAAATGTTTTCAAATCTTATGGAAAGAAAGAATGTATACTATGGCTTATATTTGTTAGCAGTTTTATAGACACAGAAGAACAAAGGTATGAGAAATGTTCAAGATTAGTACTTACAGAAAAAACAAGGACTTTAGTCCAGCAAATAGTTTTTGTGAAATTTTCACTATTGGGTTATCATCTAGAATTCTAGCAAGGCAGAAAGATTAATTATTACCAGCATGATACTTGTAGAAACAATGAAAAACTGATTTGGAAAACTAATCTACAAAGAAGCTGGGCCGTTTGTTTCTTACTGAGGTTTCAAAGTGAATAGAATTAGATACCTAAGATAACTAATATCCAGACTATGGTATAATAGTAAGACATTTCAGAAATCTGCTATCCTGAATGAGAATGCCTTAATCATAATTTTTTGCAGAAAGCAAATTACAAATATAATGTGAATGATATATTCGTATCATTTTAAATCTATGAATGGCAATGCTTTTAAAAGTAAAAAGAAAAGGATACTCACAGCCATTTCAATTTGTGTAGGTCTCTGAATATCCCAGGTTTCAGACTGGTGATGCAATTATGACTGAGATATCTGTGAAAAAAGGAACATAATACTGGGATTAAAATGCCTATGCTTGGATCTAGTTTAATTATGTCCTGTCCTCTCCCACTCCCTGCCAAAAAAAAGAATGATTTTAGCAATTAAATACTGATTTGACAACTGTCATAGAAATAAAATGACTGCAGCAACCAACTTTGTATTTTAAAATCCTGGATGATAGTGATCATTTTTCTCTCACAAGGGCTGTCTCATACAAAATGCAATTTGATTTAATTTTTTTCCTCTCATTTTACTACATATTTAACACCATATGACTTTAGAAAATGTGCTTTACGTATCAATCTTACACTGTATGGCAGTGGGACACCTATATAATTCAGATAAAATGAACCATGTTTGCTGTGATCCTGGCTCATGTCACTTAGCCCACTATACTGCAGACTCTTGACTGATTCTTAAAAGACAGATGAAGCTGACATATTATATAGTTTATAAGTTAAGAACTTGTATTGATAATATTAGGCAGTCAGATATATCAGAAGGTAAAATATAATAATCAACTACTCACAATTTCTGAAGTTTGTGTAATCCAAAAAATGCTTTTCTTGATATTGTCTGAATGCAATTATGTTGCAGAAATCTAGTGTAGACAGGGTAAAAAAAAGCTAAAGTGGTTATATGTCAGAAATTTTTTAGAATTCATAATCTCACATTTATACCCTCTGTTATTTAAGGAAGTTGAGCTAAATTAACCCCATAATACCAAGGAAAATGCTAATTAATATGATTGCATTACACTGGAATTTAGTTAAATATTTCCCATCAGAATGCAACTTTTTTTAGGGTCATGCAGAGTATTTTGCATCTCAGGGGTGCATCTACATGTGCACTTTACTGCAGACTAGTCCAATTACTTCTGCAATAAAGTGTCACTGTCTGCATGTGCATTGGTATTAGGGTGAAGTAAACTAATTAACTCTGCTGTAATATAGTACTGTTGGGGGCAGTACTATTTTATGGCAGGTAAATCACTGCACTAAAATGGATGTATAGATACTGATTGGGGGTTTGCTCCACCCGGGCTCCAATTGCTGCTGTCCTGGGCACACATGTAGATGCTGTACCCAGGAGTAGTTTACTGTGGCTCAAACTGCTTTAGAGTTTATTGTTTTTCATTAATCATACATATAGATGCATCCAGTCAGTAGGAGATGCTGTCACTTTAAGGAACAAATCAACCATGCCCACAGAAGGCAGGGCCATTGGATGTAGGCCGGGGATGTAAAATTAGACCTACCAGATCCCTACCTAAACTTACATCATTCTGAATTTCAGCTATGCTTAATAATTAATGTTAACATATATCCCACTCTATGCTGAGTAATGCATTGAAGGGAGATGAATTCTATGGCATGTTTAAATAAAATTAGTTTTAGTTCTATGCTCCTTCAAATCAAGTGATCCTTTCAAATGACTGCAGTTCCTCAAAGCTCCTAATCAGTTTTGGATGGATAGCAGTTTGGGCTGTCACAAGGAACTACTTGTTAAATGCATACCATCAAATAAGAATCAATGGATTAACACAAATAGTGTGTACTTAGAAGATTTGTAAGGATTTATTTTATATCTGGTGTATGAAGACCAGATTTTTCAGCTGTCACTCTTAACTGATATAGGAAACCCAGGATTATATGTACCTAGTAGCTGTTAATTATGTTTTAACCTTACGAGGGGTTATAAGAGAGCGACATTTGACATAAATTATCAGCAGAGCCTGAAGGGAATTCTATTTGCTAGCAGTGCATTATACCAGACTATGTAATTTATATTGAGGTCTATGCTCTACTTTTTTCTAGGAAGAGCAAACTGGTTTCTATGGTAACCCGAAGAAAGCCAGAGTTAAAGCTGTATAAGACAAATTCCAGGAAAAGGTCATTGGTTGCTTTATTTTTCAAATAGATTTTTTTTGCAATAGGGCCCATAGGCCCAAACAGCCTCATGGCTTTATTCTGCTACAGACAATACCAATATTGAAGAAGGCAGCACCTGCTCAAAAAGCTTACCCTCAGCCCATGGAAGGGCAGTTAACAGCACAGGAAAATTACAGATTTTCTAACTAACTGAAAAAACATGTTGGATAGGGTATTCAGAAACCTGCATCATATTTTCTTCCACTCAATGATAAAGACTAAAACAATAACTTTAATAGAAAGCTACATAAAACCTAGGTTCTCTGGTTTACCTTTCTGCAAACTTCTTATGGCTATTAGTAGATCAGGGGTGCCTCTACCTATGTCAGCAGAACTGATGAATGTGGCTTTTGCTCTTTATCAAGGGTACAAAAACTACAGTTGTGCAAAGCTTCAGTCCTTGATTCGATTAGGTGGAGATTCAGCTCAATTTGGTGGCTGAATCGCTAAATCCAAATAGAATCAGAGGCCATTTTAATCTCTCCCAATCAAGTCAGAACCCTCCAAATCAATTCGGAAAGATTCACAGATTCAGATATAGACAAAGCTTTAACATTTTTTTCTGCGTACCTTGAGGTACCAGCACAGCTTATGATTGCTGTGATGCTATGGTGCATGGAGTGTCCCACAGGAGCACAGTGGGGCCCCCTACATGCTTGGAGATGAACCTGGAAGTGGACCGGAAGTACTTCCAGTCCACTTACGGGTCTGCTGGGGAGTGTGCTGGGGGCCCCTGGTACCCCCCTGGCTCCGCAATTGGCTGCAGTGGGACCCCGGGTATCCCCCCCTCTTCCCCCCCCCGACCCAGTCGCCAAGCCAGGGGGATGGGGGGGGGGACAGCGTGCTCCCCGGCAGACCAGGAAGTGGACCAGAAGTGCTTCTGGTCCAGTTCTGGGGCTGCTGCAAAGTGTCCTGGGGAGCCCCCTGTGCTTCTGTGGGACACTCCATGCGCCCCAGCATCGCAGTGTTCATGCGCCTAGAGGTATGTAGAAAAAACATTTCAAGCTGTATTTATGTCTGAATCACTGATTCTTTGAATCAACATCAAATCTTCAGATTTGGATTCGGCCGAATCGAATCAGGGACAGTGATCTGAATCAATGAATCAAATCACTGTCCCTGATTTGGGCTGAATCCAAATCCAAACTGAATAGGGCCCACTTCACTCACCCCTAACAAAAACATAGCATTGTAAATCTGCCCCACAAACTGCTGCTAAAACCATAATTTGTCCCTTTGCACAGAGTATATTTTACATTCCTGGCTTTATAGTGTTGAGTCTTTTAAAACACTGTGGCAGTATCATGTATTCCACCCTAGTATTTTCTCTGTTTTTATACATTCTTTGAGAGCAGACCATATATTTGTGTGCTGCTTACAAAACTGCATTGTGTCTGTATGCTTACTGCTAGAATGAGAAGCCCTCATAATTAAGATTTGAATTCCAAAAGTAAATGCCATTTTACATCGTTAAAAAGGCAACAGCAGATTAAGTAATTCAGTACTGAATTTAGTACATTCCCTATAATGCAATAATCACTTAGAATTTGTAGACTGTTGAGAGGACACTTACATTTTCTTTACTTCTGTATATCTGCTGAAAACTTCATCTGGAAGAGCATGGATCTGGTTGTGTTTAAGAGACCTAAAATAATTCGTGTGTGAAAGTTCACATTAAGGTCTTAATTAATTGTTGATTTTTAAGTCATAATCTAGAGTTTATCATTAGTACAACTGATCAAGTGCCTCACTGATAAACTAGGGAAACACTTTTGCTCAACTCACTGGATATCATTCCAACTTTCTATCATAGTTAAGACAAATTTTGCTTATTTTGCAAGTACTGTAAATTTAGATGCCCTAATTACTGAATTAATTATTTTCTGTGAATGTAATTAAGAACATGGTATAGGTTAATTAAACCACTAGCTATGTTTAGAAAGGCCATTGATAATTACCATGTTGTAGACAAAGAGTGAAAAACTTATGCTATAATCTGAATAATAAAACAGCTTCCTAGTAGTGAAAAAGAAACAAAGTTCCTACTCTTTCCTTTTTAACACAAACATTCATAATTCTACATATCATATTTCTGTAGTATTTGAAAAATCCACAGTGATTCATAGCTTAGACTGGTACAAAATAAACAAAACTTTAAGATCGCTTCATCCACCCCTGATATGTCACTATCTTCCGAGTAAAATTTGGTGCCATTAATAGTATACAATATGACTGCATATAACCTGAAGAAAGAAGTGATTGCCCAATGGAAATCACACAAGGGATTTGGGTAGAGAACAGTAAGGAGTTGGCCAGGACCTGCACCCCAGAACCATGCTGTTATTTCTTTTTTTGTACCAAGGTAACTCGTATGGAGATCTAGTAATAGATGAGGACTCCATGGCACAGGACACAGTACGAATACATGCAGTCATGGCCTCAAAGATTTACAATAACAGCATAAGAGAAGTTGGTGGTACTGCTCTCATCTACCAGTTCCTTGTCAAGCCACTCTAGGCCTCATGTTAGTGCCTCTTTGGCACCAGGTTCTGCTGCTAAGCCATCTATAATCTGCTAGTTTGTGGACTGAAGCAGGGGACAAGGCACAATATTATGGGGATGTGATTAAGAGAATGGAAACAGGTTGGGATAAGAAGGCATTTTCGGACCAGAGTGCAGTGAGATCTACTGGGGCTCATGGCAGACATGTGTCCTGACCTGTGGCTGGCTCTTGACACCACAGACCCTCATTCCTTCTCAATATAATGCTATCCAGTGGCCAAAAAAATTAGGACCTGAGCTTTAGACACCCTAGAACTTTATGGGTGGTTGTACTGAAGCTTAACTCAAGCCTGAATTTCACAACTAGGTCATTTCTATAACAGACCCAATCAAACCCTACACCCCAAGCTCACTTAAACTTGTAGAGTTCAAAATGCCATTGTAGGTCAGGTCCATCTTTAGGGAAACCATAACAAATAGATTAGTTCAAGGGAATTAACTTGTTTCATACCAATGACCAATTCTTCTGTTGTGAAGGAAAGAAGTAGGGATACAAAAGAGTAAGATATCATTTTCACATGATGGGACAGTAAATTTGCCCATATTCTATATATGTAGGTTATAGTTAACCATCTCATTGTTTCTACAGCACCTTTATTCCAGTGAGCAAGCAGAAGGCAGAGCTGTGTTTATAATGGTACAATATTCAGAACTACTTACAGTAGGGTGACATTGCTTGAAACAAGTGGAACAGATTTTAAATTAACATCTACACATTCTAATTCAGTTTCTATGCAGTCACAACTTTCTGGGTACTGATGGAGACCTAGAAAAAATAAGTAGTGATTTTATATATGATTATTAAATATATGGATGACAGTGTTATTTTTAATGCCTAATTTTGGTTTCCTTTTAAGACTCTGCTTCAAAAATGGGTCTGGCATTTAGATAAATAACAAAAAAGTCCAGAGATGAGTTAGTTTGGATTTAAAAAATCTGGAAAGAATATGAATACCAATGCTACAGGGCAAAAGCCAGCTTCTAAACAGAGGGGGTAGGAAGAAAAAAGATTCCCTTGTGGGCAAGTTATTCCACAAACGTGCATTTGTGTTTCTTGCACCTTCCTGCAAGGCATCTGACACTGAATGCAGGATTCAGAGGCAGGATACTGGAGTAGCCGATCACTGCTCTATCCCAGAATGGCAGTTTTAGGCTCCTACTCTGTGAGCACATCTACACGTGCATTTACGTTGCATTAAATTTACTGCACAGTAAGTTACTAATGTAAATTACTGCACAGTAAGTAAAAATAGGCCAGCATCTACACATGCAGGCATTAATGCCATGTGTGTTCTGACTTGGGACTAAAGTTAGTCAGTGCACACACAGTGTTACAGTAAGGTGTCTACATGTGCATTACTGCACAGTGACTAATCAGGTGTAAATTTGATACCTTCATCATGCAGGTTTCAAATTTACGCCCAAATCGACATAAGTCACCATAGTTACTGCACAGTACAAGCATGGACATGTAGACACATACCCGGACTGCACAGTAATTTTCAGTTACTGTGTAGTAATTTAGGCTACTGAGCAGTAAATGTGCATGTGTAGATGCATCCTGTTTTCTGGAAAACTTTGCTTTGCATCTGGATTTTAATTCAGGCGGCTTCCAGAAGAAGCACCTCCAAATACTCTCTCTCCAACTATTCCTACACTTCGGTAACAAGCTGGTACATTACTTTACTTCAGCCTCCACTACACATTACATGTATTACATCATTAACTGGTTAATTGCGCAATTAATTTAGATTGGCTACACATTTAAAGTAACTACACTGCGAGGCACTGCCATGGCTTGGGCTCCCAATCATGGCAATACATGGGGTGTTGCCACAGCTGCAGGACTCACAGCTGCAGAAGCTTACTACTTGCTGGTGCAGGAGGAGCCTAGTATGGCGATCCCAGGCTCCCCCTACACCAGCAATAAGGTGTGTTAGGATCTGATGCTGGATTCCACAATCATGCCTCCTGCCATGCATATGTGGCATGCCAGGAGGTGTGATTGTGTAGATCATGCATCAGATCCTGTCATGCCTTTACCTGAACATCTAGAGTGATAACAGGGATCTGGCTATTTATTTCTCTGAACAGTAACATGATTCAACATCTCAAGGGATTATTAATTTTTAAAATACTGATACCAAACTCTAGAAGATAGAAATACAATTTAAACCACACCTGTACTTTTATGTGATATCAACAACTGCTGGGATGGGAACCTTAGAGTAATAACTATGTATGTCTTTTCATGGTACATGTAAAAGGTAGAGCTTCTTAGAAACTCTCTGCTGGCACAGTTTCCTCATCAGTGAATATGGAATCTCTGAATTGCAAATGTTTCACAGAAATGTTTCAATTTGAACAAAGGCACCTGGTTTCCTGACAGCTCACCCACCTGCCCAGCTTGCTGACAGTCTGTCTGCTGGGCTTGTGGAGAGCCAGGCTCTGGGCTTTTAGGTAATCTGTGTGGAGAGCTTACCAGCTGCTGAGACTTTGAAAACCCTGGGAATGCCAGTTTCCAAGTTTCAAGGCAGCTGACTCAACTGGGACTTATGGATTCCATATTCCTCATTACCACACAGGGAAAATTTTATTTTGAAATGATAAAAGTGAACTATTCCCATTTTTCAGAACAGTGTTTTTATTCTGTTTCCCAGGGTGTTATAAATGTTTAGTTTTTAGTCCAAATCAAAATGGAAACACAATTTGAAATCCTCAAATCCTCTGCTAAATGAAATGACAGTTCTCTACACATGCTAATAAAAACAGCAGCATGGCACAAGTGACCACTTTCCATAGTCCAAAGTCTGCCCTTCGACTTTGTTCTTTTATACATGCTAACAATTTCTGTACCCTAGATAACACAATTGGGAGCTGAGCTGGTTTATTCTACTAGGTATCTCTTAATTAAGGTAAAGACTCTCATTAATGAAGGAATTTAGAAGTGCCAGGTAGATTAAGACCATAAACAAAAGCACTGCAATCTCCTCAGTATTAAGTCATCATGGTAATCAAATTAAAACACATCAGTGTATTGATCTTTTCATCCAGTATCACTTACAGCACTCTTCTGATAAATCCAGATAGTTAGGCTTTCCATGGACCATGTCAAATATATTTGCCCATCCACTATTGTCACCTATAAAACAATATTAAAATTTGTCAGCTGCCCTGTCGATAGTGTATCAAGCAGTGAACGTGATGAAGTGGGAAAGAGAAATACAAAGATTTAAAAATGGAAGTCACCTTGGTGGGTGTAAGCATACATTTGTGTTGGTGTGTGCTGCTGTTTGGTCAACAATTCACAGAGGAACTTTTAACTGTTGTATTTCTTCAAGCAGTGAGCTTTTTCAACTGGAAGGGAATGTTTTGCACTTAACCATCCACTATATAATTCAATCCTTAACTTTTTTAACCAAGCCAGCTCTCATGCCTATACATAAACATATATTTTTGTCTGATCTCCCATACCTTATTTATTTCTTAACTATTACCTTAATTCTTTTAAAGTTTCCGCTTAAGCTCAATTTTTTAGATTTTTGGAGAGGATCCAGAATTTATTGCATGGGGAATTATGACTGCTTTTCACCTCTGAAAATCAAATTGCTACTTTATCACAGGTATGTAGGGCTAGAAGGAACCTCTGGGCTAAGTACAGACAGTCACAAAGCCTGAGGCTGAATTGATTCAGTCTTTGCAGGTTAGTCGAAGCTGCAAAGATTGAACCAATAAGCAAATGAACAGACATTCACTTGCGATTCCGGAAATTCAGCCACATACCTGTAGTGGCTCAAGCCAGGGTGGTGCTAGAGCACAGCTCTCTGGCACATAGCCAGCATGGGCTGTGTTTGCTTGCTCTTCCTGCTGCCCCCAAGGTCTCTGGGATTTGCAGTACACAATCACAACAGCATGACTCTACAGGATTGCTCATCACTTCCTCTTCCTGCTTTCAGGTGTTTCTGGGATTTGTAGTCTACAGTCACAGCCAGCACTAAGCAGGCAGGGCAGGGCACTTCTGTACTCAAGGGAAGGAAAATTTAACCCCCCTCCCTCACCCTACACCACAGCTGGGTTTTGTCAGGGAGGGCCAGTGACCCAGCCGGTGAGGCCAGTGAACCAGCCCTCACTGCTCCAGCTAGGGAGCAGAGGGATGGGGTCAGCTCTGCTGTCTGAAGCAGACAGCATAGCCTAGCTCAGAGATGAAAAGCATGCTGGGATGCTGTGGGGACTCTGATTTAACTTGAACCAGGTTGGGGTCTGGGACATAAGTTTCATAAACCGGTTTGACCTAAATCATTTACATCTGATACTACATTCAACCAGGTTTATCTTAAACCAATTTCAGCCATTTTGAAACTGATTTATTTAGACTGAACTTCTGTTCTATTACAGGTTTAAACCAGTTTCTGGTCACTTAAACCAGTTTATGTGTAACTTCTGTCCCTAACCCAAAATGACATCTAGTACAATCCTCTGCACTAGGTCAGAACTAAGAATACATAGACCAGCTCCAACAGAAGTTTAAATTATGAGTTCTAAAAAAAAAAACCCAATGAAGGAGATTCCACAACCTACTTGACTATGCTGTTTCTGTTTCACTACCCTAAAAGTTTCTAATACTTAGAACATTGCCCCTATGTCCAATCTAAATTTTCTTTGCAGAAAATTAAGCTAATTTCTTTTTATCCTTCACTCAGAAGACATTTTCTCCTTCAAAAAACAGCTGGATTTATTTCTTGCTGGGGTCACTTGATCCCAGCTGACTTCCTACCTGTGGTGGCAGGGCTGGACCCAATGATCTCATGAGGTCCCTTTCAGCCTCTAATGTCTATGAAAAAAATGAACAATCCCTTTTATAACAACCTGCGATGTTCCCCCTCAGTTTCCTTGTGTTAAATTTATAAAACCCACTTCTTTTAACTTTCTGTCCTAAGTCACTTTTTCTATCATTCTCATTGCTTTCACCTGACCTCTCTCCCATTGGTGTATGTCTTCCATAAAATGTGAAAGATTATTTTAGTTGCTTAACTACAGACAGTCAAATTTGAAAATGTATTTATCAGATGAATCTAATGCTTTTCGACCATGATCTATGGCTTTGCTATTTTAATGGAAAAATTTATATTCTGTACATGCTATATCAGAATTGTTGTTGTGAATCAATGACCATGTTTCATTTTTCAAAGAGTAATGTTTGTTGTGGACAGGTAACTCTCTCTTTTTACTAAATACTATTGCTTGTGGAGTCTCTGTCTCTGGTTTAGTAAAACTACAGCCAGGTACAAACATTACACACAAACTGGTATAAGTACTTGGAAACTGGTCTATATCTGTAACCAAACACAAGTTCTGTGTACACAGATTGTTAAAAATTGGTGGAACCTGGTCTAAGATCGATCTGGACTGATGTGATATTAGACTTAAGTGATTTAGGTAAGACCAGTCTATTGAACTTCTGTACCAGATTCCACTGCCTGAGTCTGCATCCCCTCCAGTAGCACCAGCCATAACCCCCCCCCCCCCAACAACAAGCAGCAAAACCAGGACAGTCTTCTCCCCCCCCATTTCACTTCCTGTCCTGAGCCTTCCAGTGTCAGAGGAAGAGCTGGATCTGGATCTGAGTACCATAGCAAGGGAAATTCTGGGAAGGAGAGGGAATCATCTAATTTGTGCTCCAAACCTCTCAAGTTTCCCCCAGAGCCAGGTCTCCTTCCCCAGAAGGCACTTCAGAGGAGCTTGAGGTAGAGGTTGTGAAGGCAAGTGGCTCAGCTAAGTCTGCTTCTCCTGTTGTTGTGCCTCTGCCTGCTGAGGAGGTGGAAAAGGCAGCTTCTGCACATGCACCCGCACCCCAGAAGTGAATGCGTAGTGTGGCCTGGGATCATTTTGAGCTGGCAGATGATTCCACATATGCCATCTGCCTGCACTGCCGAGCCAAAACCAGCTGGGGTGTCACAGAGCACTGAGGTGCCCTGCTCCCAAAGAGGGGAAACTGCTAGGGCTTCCTCCCTAGTAGGGAATAAGGAGCCCAGCTGTAGGTTGCTGGGGCAACCAGGGAAGGTCAGCTGACCAGAAGGGGCAGGACCTAGCTCCCTTATAAACCCTGGGACTGGGGCCAGAGTCAGTTCCAAGCCAACAGCCCAGGAAGAAGGAGTTTTGTCACGGAAGAGAGGGGAGGCCTGACTGCAGGAGTGGTGTTTGGCACTGCTGAGGGTTGGAGTAATCCCTGGGCTAGGCTTGAATGTTCTTATGGCCAAGCGGCTTCCATTTAAATTATAGCCAGAGAGCTTGTGTTTATGTTGCTGTTTGTTAAACTGGTGGTTTGGGTGAGGCTATTAGGGGTTGGAGGAGGCCTCATAGGGGACTCACAGTGGAGAGTGAGGACCCCAGTGCCAGTGAGGGTGCAGCATTCTGGGTGCATAGACCCCCAGCCCCAGAGGGGGGAATTGCTGAGAAGGCCCCAGAGCAGGGGCAGCATTATGGAGAAGGCCCCAGAGAGGGGGGCAGCATTGGTGAGAAACCCAGTGCGGGCACAGTGAGCCCTGGAGATGGGGCAGCATTGGTGAGAAGCCCAGTGTGGGCACGGTGAACCCCAAAGAGGGGGCAGCATTACTGAAAGACCCCAGAGAAGGGGCAGTGGCTGAGAAGTCCCAGTGTGGATGCGGAGGCCCCAGAGAGGGGGCAGCATTGTTGATAAGGCCCAGAGAAGACAGCACAGAGTCTGGAGAGGGCGCGTATCAAAGGAAGGAAGGCCCGGAGAGGACAAAGAGGGGTCAGATTGTGATAGGACTGAGACATAACAGCTATTCCATCGGCGAGGTGTGGACTATGGTGTAGGGGAGGAAACGGAGCCACAGATAGCGCCCCCTGGCAGCGGGGCAGTACAAGGGCAGCCTCCTGCTAATTAACAGCAAGGCATGGCAGGTGATATGGCGGGCGGTTGCCCCAGGAACAGGTGTGTGGGCCGCATTTAGCTCAGCCCAGAGCGGATACCTGTTACACAGGGGAAGGGAACAAAACACATGAGCACCACAGGGATGCTGATGCATCTCTGCAGGCACCACCCCCTTGCCCTTGCTTCTCCTCAGCCTGGCACCAGTGGGTGCATGCCCAAAAAGAAGTCCCTCTTTTGCTCCAAAGCCCCCATCGCCCTGAAGCAGAGGCAGACCACCCTGGACCAGTGAGGGAAAGGTGGACAGAAAGGGGGACATGTTCCCAAGGCAAGTGAGGTCACCCAGAGCATTGGGGAGATTCTTGCTGTGGATGTCCAGCCCTTCTTAGTTGAGTGGCCAAGGCTCAGGTTGGTCATGGCGCTTGTGGCCCCATCGTACCAAGTGCCTGCACGCACCACCTTCAGCAAGACGGTGGTGCCCTCCCTGTATGAGGCATGCAGGGAATACTTGAGAGAGGAGCTGTGCAAGGCAGGTCCGCAGGTGGCCTTGCACTTTACCTCGGACATCTGGAGCAGCCAGGGTGGAGGTCATGCCTACCTCTCCCTCATAGGGCACTGGTGCAACAAGTCAGGCCATTGGTAGGCTCTCCTTCAAGCTACGTGGCAACCAAGACTATGGGGGCCATGAACTGCTTGGTGCAGGAGTGGCTTGTTGGGCAGGGTGATCTCACCCGTGGGTTCATGGTCACTGACAATGGGGCCAATATGGTCAAGGGGGTCTGTGATGTCAACTTTGTTGGCATCAACTGTGTGGCACACAAGTTCCACCTCATTGTCAGGGACGCCTTGGAGGGGGCAGGGCTGCTGGTGACAGTGCCAGCACCACCAGCAAGCTCATTTCCAAATGCAGGAAGGTGGCAGGATACTTCCACCAGAGCATCAAGGGGGGCAAGATGCTGCAGTACAAAAAGGCAGAGCTGAACATCCTCGAGCACAAAATCATGCAGGATGCGGAGACTTGGTAGAGCGTCACATACCTGATGCTCGAGAGGCTGGGGGAGCAACAGAAGGCCATCCATGAGATGGCCTTGCTTGGGGAGATTGGGATCAGCGGCCCCCTTAACAGAGCTGAGTGGGATACTATCTCCCAGATCTTGGTGGTCCTCAAGCCCTTCCTTGAGGCCACTGAGAGCCTCAGAGCTGGCAATGCCCTCCTTAGCCAGGTGATCCCTGTAGTGAGGGAACTTCAGAATCAAATAGAGGAGTTCCAGGGGCTCAATGTTTCTGGCTGGGGCAAGCTGCTGTCACCAGACGTGCAGGCACTGGCGAGGTAGCTGAAGGAGTGCATCAGGAAATTTCCTGATCCCTTGTGGTCCAGTACGGTCCACGTGCTGGCTGTAATGTGTGACCTGAGGGTGAAGGAGAGCATCAGTGTATGCAGCAGCAAAACCCTGGATCAGTGGACAGTGGTGTTGGTGAACAGAGTAGGGGAGGCAGAAGGGCAGAGATGGGGGGACATAAAAGAGGAGGATCCACTGTCCTCTGCCAGCACACCTTCCACCAGCTATTTTTCTCCACCATCACAGGCGCTGCCAACCCACTTTTCACAGACGAGCCTATGAACTGCACTTCATTAGCCTCCTAGGTACAGAAACTCATGGGCTTAATATAGACATTGGCATTTTGACACACTACAACCTGCTGGACATCTCACTCCCCAGGTATCTCTCCGCTTTTACCTGCTACATCCTCCTTCCCCCCTACCCCAGCCTGTATCTCACTCCGTGACACCTCCATTTCCATTTTTACTGACTGGCTTTCTTGCCTGTATTACATGCCAGCCTCTGGCTTCTTTACTATTCCTTCCATCCAGAAAGAGCACACACACCAACTGCAGGTGCTTCCTCAGCCTGATGAAGGGTTTTTAAACCTGAAAGCTAAGATATATTTCTCCAACTATTTGGTTGGTCTACTAAAAGATATCAGATTGACTCAAAGAACCTTGTCTGCCATGTCCTTAGACCAGCATGGTGACAACCTACATCCCTAGCACCTGTCCCTGGTCAGCTGACTGAAAGGAGGCAGGGCCCTGGGCACATCTAAGGCCCAGGGCTGGGGCTGGCAGGAAGAGTTCTCTGGCAGCTGCTGGAGAAGAAGCTCCTCCAGGAAAGGAAATAAAGGCTCTGTGACAGTTTGGCTGCCTGAGATGCTAATGCTACTGTGGTGCTTACCTATTGTTATTTAAAGTGGTGGATGAGGCTGAGGCTGTAGCGGAGGAGTAGACCCCATTGTGGCACACTACCATGTCATGTAGAGGCCCCAGTGCCAGTGAGGGCATGCCTTAACACACACACAAAATCACACATGAAACGAGTTTTGCTTGTCAGCAGCTTCAGGTTCAGCTTCCCAGAAACTCCTGCACATATCTCCTTGAAACTTGGCAGGCTTCATGGCCTCAGCAGGGGCTACCATCCCTGCTGTTTTCATTTGAATCAGGGAAGAAATGACAAAGTTATAGGCATTTTTGTGATTCCCCATTATAGCCTATGAGCAAAACGTCGATATGCGTCGAAAAAGCTTTGAAACAGCAAAACATTTTTGACAAAACAAAACAGACCAGTGCTTTGAAACAGCAAGATGAAACACTGTCCCTTCAAAACAGTGAAACAAAGTTGAAATGGAATGGTGCTGTTTCGCACAGCCATACTGGCCAGTAAGGTGTGGCCAGCTGCTCAGGTGCTTGTGTGGGCTCAGCATTCTCCGGCAGCCTTCTGGGAGGCATGCAGAAGCACCCCCAACCTGCTGGCGTCGGCCACTGCAGCCAACCCATGTGCTTGGCAGGCTGGATCCAGCCCATGGGCTGTATTTTCCCTGTCCCTGCTCTATACCTTGCCTAGATGATCATTTAGGATTAGTCAGTGACTTTCAACTCTGATGAAATCACACCAGGGAATAAATGAGAAGTGCACCAAATTCCAAAAAGGGAGAAAGAGCAAATACCATGGAACCCAGGGGAAAAGGCAGTAAGTGTGGATCCAGGTGATCATAGGTTCACATCTCAACATCCAAAATGAAATATTCCCATTTCCCTA